AAAAATACCCCAGAAGTGGTACAAAAGTCTCCAGGAAGCAGGGCTTCTGATGAAAAAACACCAACAAACACGCAAGGAAGCAAAAAACGGCCATGTTCTATTTATGTAACATAACTTCCCAAATCGTATATTGTCAGCTTATGGCAGAGTTTTCAGGCATAGTTTCATTCCTACGGGCTTAAAATCGATAACCAAAATGTCATGTCAGGCAAATTTTTTATTTACCGCTAGTCAATCCGTGCTACATGAACTTTCTTTTTAGGATTTTTTTGAATTTACCCCCTTTTTTCTTTCAAAATTACGATTTTACCCCTCTTTTTCTTTTAAAATTATAACCCATTTTCTCATAAAAATTCATTTCACCTTAATTATCAACACCACAACCGTCGTACTGACGAAGTCCAGTTGTTGTAGCAGCACTGAATAGGAATGTACACGATTTCATGGATCGGAATATTCCTCTTTAACCAATTTTTTAATATAATTTTATATTTTTCCCAATATAAATTATAATTATTTATATAAATAACTAGCTGTGGATCAGTTACCGTGAATCAATGTGTGCTTTCTTTAATTCCTTGCGCATATCAGCAGTGGTCATCGAGTGCAAATGTTTCATCACATCCAGCACATGCTTTGGGTCCTTCTTCAACGGCTCTTCATAAAGCACTCTTGGCAGTATATAAGGAGCACTGGTGCTTTCCACTGGTTCATCTGAAAAATAGCTAAGAAGCTGCTTCTAAACCAACTTCTGAACTCATTTCTAATTTTACCGCAAACCTTTAGCCTTATTATTACGGCTAATAGCTGTCCATCCAGTACCGCTAAAATGGAATTTCAAGAAAGCGAAGTCAAGCCAATTTAAAACTGTCGTGTAATAGACCAAATAATGATTAATGGTTTTTTATTAAAAGTAGGTTAAAGAACAATTGCGTTACTGTGACGCAATACCCCTGTCTCCGGTTCAAACTTTAATCGCCCTATCCTCACCGAACTTCCT